TCTATGAGTCACATAAATTAGTCATCTAAGGAAAACCGTAAAAAGTTTAAATTAGATTTGAGTCTTCATTTGTAAATCTTTGTGTCGTTTGCTTTTATTATTGTGTTTTGTTGTTTCTTATATTTGTTTAAGTGTGTTTCAGGTTTGTCAGTATTCGTTATTTCTGGTGATGTCTTCTAAACATTGAGGACAATGTCTCGTTTTGGTTGGGGGGAGAAGGTAGTAGTTGACAAAAAAAAAAACTAACTATGTTTTTCATTTCATAAAGCATGTGCAAAATTGTTGTTTGCTAGGATGGTAGAGTAAAGGAGCTTTTTTGTTAAAGTAACTCTGAAGATGCATTTTAATAACCATTCTTAACAAGATCTATTATAATACTTCTTAAAATATTCAGGTTTACAAACTCTCATATTATTATCACTTAATTCTGCTAATATACTCATTTAACATGTATTCTTAAACCTTCATTTTCACACACACGCTTTAACATATGATTGTGGGTTGCACATTGGATTATTACATTATTTATGTTCTTTTGTTAAAGGTAACAACTAAGGAAAAGGGATAGTATATAATTTGAAAAAAAAAACAAAAAAAAAAAAGAGCAAAAAAAATGATAATGATAAAATGTAGATAACTTTAGTTTCGTAGCCTCCTTAACCTAAGCATTTAAGCCTGAAGGGGTGTTTTAACACCTAATACCCTAAAGTCAACTGACTTGGGAGTTATCGGTCTAATGCTTGTTACATGAGTTGAGGAGAAAAGCTTAAGAAAATCAAACATTACACTATCTACGTATCAGTATCTACAACCCGAGACCCGAGTTACTAAGCTCGTAGGGGTGTCTCAACACCTAATGCCCTAAAACCAACTAGTCTGAAAGTTATTAGCCAAAAGCTCGTTACATGGGTTAATGATGCATCGTGTTTAAAGTTATATGTATATATATTTAAAAAAATAAAAAAATCCCAACCCAAAGAAGTTAACCTTAAACATTAGAAATTTTTTTTTTCCAAGCAAAGCCCCATAAATATGTGTTGATATACTAAGTACAAAAGAAAGATTTATTAATATCTTGTTTAAGAGGTATTGAGCAGATATATAAATTTAATGAGAGTTTGTTTATCTGGATAGATTAATGGAAGTTGAATGATGAATACCTTACTTTGTGAAATTTACAAACTGTTTTTCTATTTTAACGCTTTGATTACTAGGGACTAGTAATAAGCTGGTCGAGGAGTGTGATTAGTACTTAAAAGTGCATTTTTATCAAGGTTTTATATCATCATTTTACGCTTGAAGTATCAATAACTTCTTCAATAAAGCATGTTTTATAATAACATATCTAATAATATAAGATACCTTTAATTTATGGTAGATGTTTATTTTAAATGCAGACCTATCACATAAATGAAAGGATTAATTGATGAATTTAAGAACTGAAATTGAAAGGACAAAGAGATAGCCAAATTTAGAAAAGAGATGTTTGTGTAGTCCAAACCGGAACACTGTTTGGTAATTGGGTCATATCTGGAGCTATAGATCTCGTATTTAGCTCTAGTTTATATGGATGGAAAGGTAAGACATAGGCCTATAACTTTTATATGAGGCTCAAGATTTAAAAAGGTCATTTTCAAGTCCAAATTATAGCAACAACAAAAGAAGTCTGAATCTATCCTACAACCTGCGCACTGTTCAGTGTTTGACCCATATCTGGAGTTCTAGAAGTCCAAAAGACCTTTTTTTTTTTTTCCTGAAAAGCTGAGACAATTTCCTACAACTTTAATGTTCAAGTGGTTCCAATTCTCACGTTATCAATGATATTTTAGGCAAACAAGGGAAGATAAGAATTGTCACTAAGTCAAGAGTTGGCCACCCACTCATCAATTAGTCATCAAATCAATAGTTCTCAATTTTTGCCTATAAAAGGAGGCATTTGCCATGCATTTAGACATCTTGGTTTCCAGATCAAGATCATGTTCTTGTTTTCTCTCTTTGTATTTTTTGTATTGCTTATGGTTTGCTTTCATTAATATCAAGTTTATGCCTTTCATTTCCTTTCCTTTACTTAGTTAACTTTTATCTTATTTATGTTCTTATTTATTTATTTATTTTTCTTTATTTCATTATATTTAACTAAGTTTATTATGTCAAGGTGAAAAGGTTACACTAATGGTGTAAGAATAAGTATAATGTAAATTCAATATGGACTTTAATGTTTGATACTAAGATATTTTTTAATTGTTATCTTGTTCACTCTTTAATACTTTGTTTGTTAAATGACTAATCTAGATTTATGTTGTATAACACTTGGTACAATAAATGCTTGACACTTTCAAAGCCCATACTGTATGGTATAACCGACACCTGAGCTTTGAAAGGAACTTGATTTATTGTTAACATAAGTTATAATCATGAATGCCTAACGAGATTTACAAGTATTAGCATTAATTGAATAAGATGACTAATGTAATCATGTTAATAATTTATAATCTGATTGGAACCTCCTTTGTATGTGGTTTCCAATTGAATAATAAGAATTTATACTATACTTGTTTGACATACCATTAGTGGATCCTCTAACCTTGACATTTATTGTTATCATGGTTTAATCCTTACATTCATATTCCATCTCAAAGTTCTCATCATCTTCTTCTTCTTCTCCTCCTTTTTCTTTATTACTACTACTATTATTGTTGTTGTTGTTGTATTATTATTATCTATAATTTATACAATTAACCTCTCTATGATTCAACCTCAGTCTTGCTGGTTATTTATTACTTCAACACTCCTGCACTTAGGAGAAGATATCAATCTTTTGGTCGTGTCATCTGGATAGATTCATGAAAGTTAAATGATAAATGTCTTGATTTGTGGAATTCACAAATTATTTTTCTATTTTAACATTTTGATTACTAGGGACTAGTAATAAGCTGGTTAGGGAGTGTGATTAGTGCTTAAAAGTGTATTTTTTTTTAAGATTTTATATCATCATTTTGCACTTAAAGTATCAATAACTCCTTAACTAAAACATGTTTTATAATAACAAGTTTGATACTATAAGGTACCTTTAATTTATGATCAATGTTTATGCTAAATGCAGGCCTATCACATAAATAAAAGGATTGATTGATGAGTTGAAGTATTGAAATTGAAAGGACAAAGAAAGGGTTAAACTTAAAAAAGAGATGTTATGATAGTCCAAACCAGAACACTGTTCGGTAATTGGGTCATATCTGAACCTGTAGATCCCAGATTTAAATCTACTTTATATGGATGGAAAGCTAAGACATAAGCCTAAAACTTTCATAGGAAGTCAAGGCTCAATTCTGCTATTTGGAAGTCCAAATCTTAGCAACAACGTAGAAGTCTGAATATGTCCTGTAGCCTAGACACTGTTCAGTGATCAGCCCATATCTCGAGTTCTAAAATTCCAAATGACCTCAATTGTTTTTTCTGAAAAGCCAAGATAATTTTTTAAAACTTTCATGTGAAAGTATAGTTCAAATTCTGACATTATCAATGACGTTTTATTTAAACAAGAAGGTAAGGATTGTCACCAAGTCAATATATGGCCACTCACTCGTCAATTAGTTATCAAATCAATAGTTTCTATAAAAGGAGGTATTTGTCATGCATTTAGGCATCTTGGTTTTCAAATCAAGATCATGCTCTTGTTTTCTCTCTCATGCATTTAGGCACCTTCTTGTGGTTCGATCCCGATCTTGCCGAGTTATTTATTACCCTGAAACTCTTGTACTTAAAAGAAAACATTATAGTAATGAGAACTATATGGTTTAACAACTAATATATGGTTTAACAAGTCTTAATGAACAATAAAATACATTATAGTGAAACCTAAATCTTTTAGTTTACATGGTAATACTTACTTAGCAATTCACTGCAATCCCAATCATCATTAGTTTATGCTCTATCTCTTCTTTATTTTTCTTATATCTATAAAAATATTATAAAAAACCAATTAGTAATTAAATTTCATATCCTATTCTTTGCTTAATTCTATACTAATTAGGTGTGAAATTATAGTATTTGGGTTTGGTTTCGTTGAAGTTGAGTTATGAATACTTGATTGGCACTCAAAACCTTATAAGTTTCGGTTTGATTTATAAAAAACATCCATCAAGTCGGGTATGAATTGTGATTCTGGATTCGGGTTTAGGTATGGAAGGTGTCAAACATGGTTCATAAATATCCATTGTAATCCCTAACCATGATTTCGTTCAAACCAAACTGTGTCCTTCTCCCTGTATTTCCAGGAAGTCTCTCTACAACACAAAAAAGATTTTGTACATGGAATTTCAATCTGGTGTCAAGAATGTATATTTTATGATTTTAACCTCAAAGAATTGAGTTATTGGTGCTGTACGTTATGAGATGATTTGACGGCTCTGTTTGCCTGTCATAATTACGGACAGAGCACACCCATTTTGTTAGCTTTCTATTCTCTAATGTTAATTAATTTACGAGTCATATTTTGTGACTGATTTTTTTCGTCAATTCAAATTTAGGCTAATGGTCTATGCTATTATTCATACCCCTATCTTTATCATTTTAAAAAAAGAAATCAGATCTAGTTTTTTTTTAAAAAATTTACAATCATATAATTAGATTAGATTATTGAATAATTTTTTAAAATATACTAAAATAATAATATAATAAACTAATTTAAATTAATTTAGATTAACCAATTAAATTTATAATCAAATTTATAAGATCATAATAATTTTATAAAAAAATTAAAATACTCAAATAAACTTGAGTCAAACTAATAAGTTTTTTTCTTATATTTTTTTTTAAAGAAAGATAGGCAAGGGAGACTTAAATAACAAAAGTAAGATAATTTTTTTAAAAGTTAAATAACAAAAAGATTTATTTTTTAAGTTAATTAATAACAAAAATCTTTAAATAACAAAGGATTTAAAAAAAAAAGTTTAAGGGACTAAAAATGCATTAAGAAACAGTTTCGGTGTATCAGACTGATAGCTAGAAGACTTTTCTTGGAGAACTGGTGATAACGATGTGATAATAATATCTAGGAGCATAGGAAGACTTCGCCTGTTTAACTGAACCCTATCTTCTTTTTTCAAGTCTCTATAATTATCAAGGAGATTCAAGAAGTGAGGAGCTTGTAACTGTACCTCTACGCCTTCCGGATCGATGGCGAGGCTCAACTTATTTTATCTATTTGTGACACTGTTATTATCAATTAGTTTGAGGCCATGTTATGGTCTGCCGGAGAAGACGACAAGTGCTTTGTTCATCTTTGGGGACTCCAGTGCTGACACTGGCAACAATAACTACATCAATACCACCGCCGGCATGCGAGCGGATTGGAAACCTTTTGGCCAGAATGGTTTTTTTAAAGCCCCTACAGGACGCTTCTCTGATGGCCGCCGTGTCTTTGTTGATTTTATTGGTACCTAGGTGCTCCACGCATGTCTCTCGACTCTCTTTTTTTATATAGTCAGAGTGTCATAAATAACTAGCCAGAATAGCTGTAAATCATCCGCGAAGCTGATTATTTTGTCATAATACCTAGTTCCTTTGAGTGGTCATTTCTATTCAGTACGTAACCAAGTATTCGTGGGAACCGGACAGCTGAGTATGCAAAATTGTCAATAATTCCTCCATTTCATCAACCGTCTGCTGATCTCACAAATGGTGTTAACTTCACCTCGGGAGGGGCTGGAGTTCTTCCTCAGACCAATCAAGGGCTGGTAAGAAAATTAATACGCAATCTATTGATCTATAGTATGGTGATGATCAAAATTTCACGAATATAAAAATAAAAGGTTATTTGATGTTTGGGATAATAGCTAATGCAGACGTTAATTATTTTTAAATGTATTAAGATAATCTTGAATACCTGTAAAATAAAAAATTCTAATTTATTTTTTTTTTAAATTTTTTGATACTTAAATAAATATTTTTTAAATTAATTAAGGTAACAGATTTTTTTTCATATCATGAACCTTTTTCTTGAAGCTCTCATAGAGGGCCTGCAGGGTCATTCCCTGATAGCTTGGAATGTGGGATAAATATTCCTTACCTGGTAAGAATATAATAGGTTCATGAGAGACTTTTACACACTTAAAAAATTATAGAAAAACTAAAGTTTAAGATGTTAATTAGTATAGAAGACTAGAGTTCTTTTATAAGGTTTGATCACAAGAAAAGAAGATCGGCTACTCCGCTAGACATGCCATAGAAGGATGATGTTAAAGCAATTCAAATTAACACAAAAAAAATACAAATATAAGAGAAAAGGAGGCTAGAGATCTTATTAATCTGTTTATTTTAAAGTAATTGTTTTAATCTAAATACAAAGAGATTATATATAGGTTAAATTAAATATATTATTTAATATCTATCTTTAATAAATAAAACAAGATAAATATATTATTTAATATCTCCCCTCAAACTCACGATGTGGTAACTATAAGCATCAAGAGTTTGCCAACTATAAAACAAAAACAAGAAATGGAATACGACTTAGTAAAAATATCTGCAATCTGCAAGGAAAAAGAAACAAAAGATAAAGTAATGGTGTCATGATTGAGATGATGACGAGTAAGATGATATTAGATCTTAATATACTTAGTTCATTCATGAAAAGCTGAGTTGTAAGCAATCTGAATAGAACTCTGGTTGTCATAATATATAGGAGTAGGATGAGAAAGTGAAACTCCAATATCCGCGAGTAACCAACGTAACCAAACAATCTCTTTGATGTCATAGCATGATATTCTACTATGGTTGAGGATTGAGAAATAATAGATTTTTTCTTGCTCTTTCAAGAAATAAGAGAATCCCCTAAAAAGATACAAAAACCAATAACAGACTTGCGACCTGTGAGATAACCATCATGATCAGTATCAGAGTATGGATGCAACTCAAAGGAAGAAGTGGATAAAAATAAAAGACTCTGAAAGACTATACCTCGAAGATATCACAAAATACAAAGAACAACTACTCAGTAAACAGTAATAAGAGAAACAACAAACTAACTAACAACATAAACATCACATGCAATATCTAAACAAGTAATGGTGAGATATACCAAGTTTCCAATAATAATATGATATAAAGTACGATCTATCAAAGGTAAACCATTAGAACAAGAATACCTTGTGTTAACTTCAATGGGAGTATCTATAGTCTTATTATCAATAAGTCTAGCCCACTTAAGAATATTTATAACATATTTTGATTGAGAAAGAAGGTAACATCTAGGTAAGTAAATTACCTCAATACCTAGGAAATATCAAAGATAACCCAAATCCTTCATTTCAAACTGTCTAGCCAACTCTGTCTTCAAAACTAAGATATCATCAATGTCATCATCAGTAATAACCATGTCATCAATATATAAGGATAAAATGATATGACATGTATTAGTGCACTTAATAAAAAGAGCAAAATCATGACTACTAGAAACAAATCCAAAAGATGAGATCACAACAGAAAATTTCTCAAACCAAGCATGAGGTGCTTGTTTGAGACCATATAATGCTTTCTTGAGCTTACAAATATATCCAGAGTGATGTGAAATACTAGAAAGAGGCGTCATATAAACTTCTTCTTGAAGATCTTTATTTAAGAAGGCATTTTTAACATCAAGGTGAGAGATATGTCATTGATAAACCGAAGCTACGACAATAAAAGTATGAAAGTAATCATTTTTACAACAGGAAAAAATATCTTCTCATAATCCATACCATACTATTAAGAGTATTATTTTACAACCAATCTAGCTTTGTATTGCTCAATAAACCCATCAAAATTAGTCTTGATTTTATACATTCAGTGACAACCAACAACACTCTTACTAGGAGGTAAAGGAACCAAATCTCAAGTACTTGTCTTATACAAAGTAGAAAATTCCTCATCCATAACTTGCTGCCAAGAAGGATAAAAAATTTCCTCTTAAAAGAAAGACAATGAATAAAAGTTAAAAAAGAAGTAAATGATGAAGGGTATGTTTAGGAGTGTGGTTGTGGTTGCTTTTCAAAGTGTTTTTCATGCCAAAATGCATCAAAATAATATTTCTTTATTTTTTTAAAAATTATTTTTGAGATCAGCGCATCAAAACAATCCAAAACATACAAAAAAAAATTAATTTTTAGTATCTCAAAGAATAACAAGACTAAGCAAATCTAGTAGTTTTGTAGACTTGCAAATATATATAAATTGATATGGAGGTGGATCCACAATCTCAAATGAAGTTTTAAGGGCTGTAGATAATAATGGAGCTTCAAGTATCTCAGAGAGTAAAGTGTCAGTACTTGTAGATTGATGAGTATAGATTGGTCGAACATGGGGAGGGGTATCTGAGATATTAGGAACATAAGATGATAAACTATTAGAATCCTTAGAAAAAAAGGATATATACAAATAAGATCAAGTCTAGTCAAGCTATGAGTAGTGGATAGAATAGAAAATAAAGTCCATGCTCGAGAGAAACAACATGACGAGACACAAAGTTTATGAGTTATTAGATCAAAATAACGATACCTCTTTTTATCTTCACCATAACCCAGAAAGACATAAATAACAGATCGAGAGGAAAACTTACATTGTTCTACATGAGAACGAATAACAAACTAAGTATAACCAAAAACTCTAAAAGAGAAATAATTAGGGATATAACCATATAACTTTTTAAAAGGAGATAACTTGAATTATGAAAAGATAAAATTATATTAATCAAACTTACAGTAATAAAGACAACTTCTCCCCAAAAGTCACTAGAAATAGAAGTAGACAATAAGAGAAAACGAGCAGTTTCGACAATGTGCCTATGTTTTCTTTTTAGCAACTCCATTTTGCTCAGGAGTATCTATATATGAAGTTCGATAAATGGTTCCACCTAAATCACACCTAAAACATTTGACTATAGTATAATGTTGAGTTTTGATAAGAGTTTAAAAGGTTGTATATATATATATCAAAGAATTCAGAATAATATTTCATTAAATAAATCCAATAATAATAAGTATGATCATTAATAAATGAAACATAATATCGAGACCTTCCTTTTGTGGCAACATGTGAAGGTCCTTATATATTAGAATGAATCAAATCAAATGATAAAGAAAAAACAAAAATACTTCGATTAAAAGGTAAAGCGAAAATTTTTGTTAGTTTACATCCACTACAATCAGAAATATCACAAGTTTGAAAATTTCCTAAAACTTCTATAGATGTTAAAAATCTCAAACGAGAAGACGAAATATGACCTAGACGAGGATGCCATAAATAAAAACTAGAAGATGAAGGACTTAAACAAAAAAAAAAAAGACAAATCAGTAGTAGTAGTAGTGGTGGTAACAACTGACACTTTTAACTCATCCAAAATATATAGTTCATTCTCCCTATGGGTTATCCCAATCAACTTCTAAAATTATGGATCTTGTACACAATAAACAAAAAAAAAAGAAAAAATGACTAAATAATCTTCAAAATCACAAAATTGACCAACAAAAGCAAGATTCAATGAGTTTCGAAATAAGATAAGCATTAAAGAGAGACAAATGAGGTGTGACAACAAAACCAACACTTGTTAAGGGCATGAAAATGCCATCAACAGTCATAACAGAAATGAAAGGCGAAGATGACACATGGGTAAAAAATAAAGAATCTGAAGACATATGAAGTGAAGCACCAGAATCCAAGACTTGTTTAGATTGTGATATACTTGAGAAACTATGAGTCAATTGACTTAGGGAAGGAGAAATAGATATTACTTGTGGTTGTAAGGAGAGAAACTTCTAAAATTGCTCAGCCAGAGTATTAGGATTGGTGATAAAGCCTAATAAAACTACTGCTGCAGTATTATGATTTGGTGGTTTATAACCTTAAGGTGGTCTATGAGCATTAAATTATGATTGGCTGCTAGACTTTCAAGTTTGATTATGTTGTTTCAACTTGGGACACTAAGTCGTCCAATGACCTTTCTGCTTATAAAAACTACATTCGTTGAAGGTAACCCTTGTGTAAGGCTTATTCTGATGTTTAGAGAGTGACTTAAATGATATTGCTAGTACAGAGAAATTTGAAGTAAATAGAATTTCCTTTTTAAAATAAGATTGAAGATATATTTCTTCACCCAATAGCTCACTAACAATAGAAGATAATGGAGAATGATGCAAAATTGAACCTCTAAGTCCTTCGAAATCATTGCGAAGTGTTGTTAAAAACTATACCAATCGTTGCTGCTTTCTACGATCAATATAGGCACCACATGCCTTTAATTATGTCAATTTTATAAGAGTCAATTGATCTTAAAGATCTGTTATAGTAGAATAAAACTCTTGAATACTCATATTCTTCTAATGAAGAGCTCGTATGTCATTCTTTAATTGATACTACTTCATAAAATTTGGTTGTGTAAATAACCTCTGCAAATGATTTCAAACCTCATTTGTTATCATACTTTGCCAATTACGTACCTATAAAATGCTCAAAATAAATGTTGATCCAAGTAATAATATTTGCATTGTTTGCTTCCTAAGTATTTATCAAAGCAACATCTCCCTCCTCAGTATTCTTGGGTATCACATAAGTTCCATTAACATATCCTTGCATCTTTTTACCCTTAAGAAAATTTCTAATTATATAACTCCAGTATGAATAATTCTTTTCATCCAACCTCACACTCATAGACAAAAATGAATCATCTCTTTTTATAGTCATAATCAACAAACAAAGAAAACCAGAATTCAAAAGTAGTGAAAGACAAAGTACCAGATTGCAAAAACTGAACAAATATCTTTTCGAAGTCATACGATTACTCCAAAACATAAAAAAAAATTACATAAAATAAATGCAAATACCGAATTACAGAAACTAAAAGGAAGATAAAATACTAAAAAAATTGCAGAAACATAACGTAAATACCAAATTATAGAAGCTGAAGAAAAGATAAAATACTAGATTTGCAGATATCAAACCAATAGCACTCCAAAAAAAAATGTTATAATACCATGTTAAAGCAATTTAAATTAACACAAAAGAAATACAAACATAAGAGAAAAGAAAGCTAGAATTCTTATTAATCTGTTTATTTTAAAGTGTTTGTTTTAACCTAAATACGAAGAGATTATATATATGTTAAACTAAAAATATTATTTTACCCTTAATAAATAAAATAAGATAAATATATTATTTAGCAGATAATAAGTATCTTGGACTTAGTTGACTACCAAGTTCAAATATCTTGGGTCTGGCATGCGTGCCAGACCCATGTTATCTTAGGTTTGACACCCTGTCAAGTCTAGATATCTTGGACTTGGCTGACTGCCAAGTCCAAACATATTAGGTCTAGCATGCGTGCTAGACCCACACTACCTCAAATTTGGCTAACTGCGAAGTCCAAACGTGTTGGGTTAGACATTCGTGTCAGACCCATGCCACCTTAGACTTGGTTGATCGGTAAGTTTAAGCGTATTGGGTTTGCCATGTATGCCAAACCCATATTACCTTGAGCTTTACTTAGAATTGGCTGACTGCTAAGTCCAAATGTCTTGGACTTGGTTGTATGCCAAGCACAAGCGGATTGGATCTAAAATACACGTCAAACCCATGCTACCCTGGACTTGGCCAACTGTCAAGTCTAAGTACCTTGGACTTGACTTAACTGATCGTCAAGCCCAAACATATTAAATCTGTCATGTATGTCAGACCCACGCTACCTTAGACTTAGCACATTGCCAAGTCTAAGCATAGTAGACTGATTAGTACTTAAAAGTGCATTCTCATTAAGGATTTATGTCATCATATTGCACCTAAAGTATCATTAAATTCCCTAACAAAAGCATGTTTTATATTAGCAAGTCTAAAAATATAATATACCTTTAATTCATGGTAAATATTCATCCTAAATGCAGGTCTATCACATAAAAAAAAGGATTGATTGATGAGTTTAAGAATTGAAATTGAAAGGATAAAAAGAAGGCCAAACTTAGCAAAGTGTTGCTGGTGCATTCCAAACTCGAACACCGTTCAGTAATTTGATCATATCTGGAGCTGTAGATATCAGATTTAGGTCCATTTTATATAGATGGAAAGGTAAGACATAGACCTACAACTTTCATATGAAGTCAAAGACTCAGTTCTGCCGTTTTCAAGCCCAAATCTTAGCAACAACGAAGACGTCGGAAGCTGTCCTGCAGCTCAAGCACTATTCGGTTTTTGGCTCATATCTTGAGTTCTAGAAGTCCAAATGAGCTCTGGTTTTTTTTTATGGAAAGCTGAGACAATTGCCCACAGCTTCCACAATTCAGTTGGCTATAATTCTGATGTGAGCAATGACGTTTTGGCCAGCCAACAATATCAAAAATCAGCCCACAATATCAAAAAACCAGCAGCCATTAATGTCAAAAACCAGCCACCAAATCAATGGATGCCCACCAATTCTTCAATCAATCAATAGTTCTGAAACTTAGCCTATAAAAGGAGGCATTGTCCATGTATTTAGTCATATTAATTTTCAGATCAAAGTTATCTTCTTGCTTTCTCTCTACATCTTTGTAATGTTCAAGTTTTCTTTTATGCTATAGTAATCTCTTGTTTATGCTCTTTCATTTCCTTTCTTATACTTAGTTAGCTTATATTATGTTTATGTTCTTATATTGTTTATTTGTGTTTTTCTCCTTCTTAATGTTTAGCTAAGTTAATTATGTCAAGGTGAAAAGGTTTCTCTAATGGTGTTAGAATAGGTATAATATAAACTCAACATGAGCTTTAAATGTTTATATCCAAGAAAGATTGTTATTAACATGTTTTATCTTTTTATCTTACTAATTCTTAATACCTTGCTTATTAAATGTTTAATTTAGATTTGTGTTGTATAATATTTGGTACATCAAATGCTTGATCTTTCATAGTTTTCGGCCGAAATCGTTATTATGATAGAAACTTGATTTGTTGTTAACATAAACTAGCAACATGAATGCTTGATGATATTTATAAGTATGGTATTACTTATATAATATAATTAATATGATCATGTTAGTAATTTATAATGAGCTAATAACGAGAAATCATCCGATTAGAACCTCCTTTGTGTGTGGTTTCTAGTTGAGTAATAAAAAGAGTTTATATTATATTTATTTGAAATACCATTAGTGAATCCTATAACCTTGACATATGTTTTGTTATTGTTTAATCCTTACATCAATATCACATCCCAAAACTTTCTTCAACTCTTTTTCTGTTATTATTCTCTTCAACTCTTTTTCTTTATTTGAAATTTATATAATTCACCTCCCTGTGGTTCGACCCCGGTCTTGCCGGGTTATTTTACTTTGACACTCCTGCACTTGGGATAAGACATCAACTCTTTGATCGTGTCATAGACTTGACGAACTGCTAAGTTGAAGTATATTAGGTTTGATATGCGTATCAGACCAACATTATTTTTAACTTAGATTATTATCAAGTCTAAACATGTTGGGTCTTCTTGCCGGACCATAAATTTTAAAAAATAAATAAATAAAGCTAACTCATTAATTACCTATCCAATCATTGAGCTGGAGATGGGATCGGGGTTTGCACCAATTCAAAGTGAAAGGGTTTCTTAACTTGTTGCTTTCACTAGTTGGTGGTTGACCTCCAAACACAGTTAAGATCTTTTGAAGAGGTGCAAAAGTCATTGACATAAAAGCTAGGAGAAGCAGAGACAAAAGCTCTTTTATCAGAGGCAGTCTATTTCATCAGTGTTGTCAGCAACGATTACGGGGCAGGTTATCTAGGTAGTCCGAAAATGCAAGAATATTTTGTGCCTGAAATGTATGTTGGGATGGTCATTGGAAACTTGACAAATATAATTCAGGTGAACCTTCTAAATTAACTACATTTAATACTTCATCTATATGGTAATTAACCTGAGGTTGAATTGATTAATGTTAACTGTGTCTGTCCTTTTTATTTAGGTGTTGTACGAGAAAGGAGCCAGAAAATTTGGATTTCTCAGCTAGTTTCCTCTAGGTTGCATGCCACTCATAAGAGCTAGGAACCCCAAGTCCAGTGAAGGCGGTTGCTTTGAAGCAGCTTCTGGTCTTGCATTGGCACACAATAATGCTTTGAATGCTGTACTCACAGGCCTCGAGCAACTGCTGAAAGGTTCCAAGCATTGCAATTTCGAATCCTATACCTGGGTTTATGACAGAATTAATAATCCCGCAAGCTATGGTATGTGTGCTCTCCTTGATTAAAGCAGTGTGGTGCAGAATTTATTTCAGAAGAGTAACGTAGGCTCTATTCAATATAATGTGATAGTATGTTGTTGGGATAAGTTAATTTCAATTACTCACAAGCAAAGTAACTGCTATTCACCCAAAATCAAGGTTTCAAAGAGGGGGTGAATGCTTGCTGTGGAACTGGACCCTATGGCGGTGTCTTCAGCTGTGGAGGCAAAAGGAAGCCCGTGGAGTTCCAGTTATGCGATAACGCTGATAATTATATTTGGTGGGATTCTGCCCATCCAACAGAGAGGATCCATGAGCAACTCGCCAAGACTTTATGGAAAGATGGAACTTCAGTAGGGTCATACAAGCTAGAAGACCTCTTTTTCGAAAAGGAAAAGCTCACAAGAGCTGATATATTGGATGCCCCTGATGAAGAACACTTCCAATACTGAAGTTCTGCCTGCCTTTATTGTCCAATCAACTTCTCAACGCCGTGTGGGTATAAAGGAATGCATGTCCATTACTCAGAGGGTGTCTGAGAGTGGCTTTCATCATTGCTAGTCATTTGACCACATACCAAACTGCTATGTTGTATGAATAAATGGAAAACCTCATGTTTATTGGTGTAAATAAAGCAGCTACAAGGACTTGCCTAACATTGAATCCCACGTAGCTATCCTTGTTTGGCCACCTGAGAAAATGTTTTTCATCGCTTGAATTGGCTTCTTTTCCATACAAGGGTGGACGAAATATTATCCTTGTCAACTTGTCCTACTGTTCTTGTTTCTTCAGAACCTCAGAATAGGATTCTTGCAAAAAACGCCTGAAGTTGACTTTCTTGATGGGTTAAAAAGCTCTAAAAACCCAAGAGAACGAATTTTTGGTGATGATTAGCTCCCCCATCCCTAGACTTCGATCGATTTATACAATGGCAACATCAGGTCTGCTTCGCTGGCTCGCTCTCACCAATAAGAATTTTGCACACGTTCAACGAGGAACACGTGTAAAATGCAAAGAATCAAGCAATGTCAAAGGAACATAGGCTGCCCTCCCTGCCGGTTAAGCCAGGTGATTCGGACCTTTACTGTCTGATTATGTCTTCGTTAATCGACAATGACAAAATTAGGAGTGTATTTGGTAAGGTTCATGAAAATTGGTTTTTAACTATGAATTATAATTTAGAAATTCTTTTCTCATTATTAAATCTGAAAAAGGAACTTAGTATAAGTAGACTCCATAAATTAAAAGTTTAAAAATTATTAATTCTTGATTTAAATCATTTCTAATCAAATGTATTTATAATTATTTTATAAATTAAAATTAAAAAACAACTCATAAAAATCATATCACTTGTTACTTTACCATATCAAACTTAATTAAATCAAACTTAATTAAATCAGATTAATTTGAAAAGTCAATGCCAGCATGTATTGCATGGATTTTTTTTAATCAAAACTTTTTTTATAAAGGAAATCATAAATCAAAATAAGAGCAAAACATTACTAATTAATTTTTTTAAAAACAATTATGATCATTTAGCATGTTTTGTATTCAATTTCTTGTAAATAATTTTTTGTAAGAAACCTAATAGCTCTTGCAATGAGAAATTGTACAGCTAATTATAAAACCGTTGATGACCCTTAATTATTGGTCCATGCTAAAATCGTTCAGCGACTTGAGAATTCTATTGTTTACATACCTTGAGAATTTCAAACTTCTTTAATTACCTTTTTGGTTAGGCTTCAATTAAATGTTTAATAAAACATTTTAACAAAATCATATTTAAAATCACCTTTTAAAATTATATTTACTCATCTTTAATGATGTTATTACCTCACATAGACTATAGACTAGACAAGAGCCTTAGTTGTTTATAAGCACAAAAAACACCTCTCTCTTTGAAAGGCATGATTAGTACTTAAAAATGCATTCTCAAGTGCATTCTCATTAAGGATTTATGTCATCATATTGCACCTAAAGTATCATTAAATTCCCTAACAAAAGCATGTTTTATATTAGCAAGTCTAAAAATATAATATACCTTTAATTCATGGTAAATGTTCATCCTAAATGCAGGTCTATCACATAAATAAAAGGATTGATTGATGAGTTTAAGGATTGAAATTGAAAGGATAAAAAGAAGGCCAGACTTAGCAAAGTATTGCTGGTGCATTCTAAACTCGAATACCGTTCAGTAATTTGATCATATCTGGAGCTGTAGATATCAGATTTAGGTCCATTTTATATCGATGGAAAGGTAAGACATAGACCTACAACTTTCATATGAAGTCAAAGACTCAGTTCTGCCGTTTTCAAGCCCAAATCTTAGCAACAACGAAGACGTCGGAAGCTGTCCTGCAGCTCAAGCACTATTCGGTTTTTGGCTCATATCTTGAGTTCTAGAAGTCCAAATGAGCTCTGGTTTTTTTTGATGGAAAGCTGAGACAATTGCCCACAGATTCCACAATTCAGTTGGCTATAATTCTGATGTGAGCAATGACGTTTTGGCCAGCCAACAATATCAAAAATCAGCCCACAATATCAAAAAACCAGCAGCCATTAATGTCAAAAACCAGCCACCAAATCAATGGATGCCCACCAATTCTTCAATCAATCAATAGTTCTGAAACTTAGCCTATAAAAGGAGGCATTGTCCATGTATTTAGTCATATTAATTTTCAGATCAAAGTTATCTTCTTGCTTTCTCTCTACATCTTTGTAATGTTCAAGTTTTCTTTTATGCTATAGTAATCTCTTGTTTATGCTCTTTCATTTCCTTTCCTATACTTAGTTAGCTTATATTATGTTTATGTTCTTATATTGTTTATTTGTGTTTTTCTCCTTCTTAATGTTTAGCTAAGTTAATTATGTCAAGGTGAAAAGGTTTCTCTAATGGTGTTAGAATAGGTATAATATAAACTCAACATGAGCTTTAAATGTTTATATCCAAGAAAGATTGTTATTAACATGTTTTATCTTTTTATCTTACTAATTCTTAATACCTTGCTTATTAAATGTTTAATTTAGATTTGTGTTGTATAATATTTGGTACATCAAATGCTTGATCTTTCATAGTTTTCGGCCGAAATCGTTATTATGATAGAAACTTGATTTGTTGTTAACATAAACTAGCAACATGAATGCTTGATGATATTTATAAGTATGGTATTACTTATATAAGATAATTAATATGATCATGTTAGTAATTTATAATGAGCTAATAACGAGAAATCATCCGATTAGAACCTCCTTTGTGTGTGGTTTCTAGTTGAGTAATAAAAAGAGTTTATATTATATTTATTTGAAATACCATTAGTGAATCCTATAACCTTGACATATGTTTTGTTATTGTTTAATCCTTACATCAATATCACATCCCAAAACTTTCTTCAACTCCTTTTCTGTTATTATTCTCTTTAAATCTTTTTCTTTATTTGTAATTTATATAATTCACCTCCCTGTGGTTCGACCCCGGTCTTGCCGGGTTATTTTACTTTGACACTCCTGCACTTGGGATAAGACATCAACTCTTTGATCGTGTCAAGGCACCTTTAAAAAAGAATAAAACTCTCAATGTAATTCCAGCGGACAATACCTTTTAAAATGCCTTCTATACAGGTGTAAATACATATCATCATTGACATCGTTTATGGGAACATTAGTAATGGGCGACTACCTAAGCCCCTCGCCTAGGGGACTATGATAATGCCATTATCCCACATCAGCTAAAAAACGAGATTCTTAATCACTTATAAACACAAAGCACACCTTTTATCTAAGAGGTGCCTTCTAAAAAGAACAAAATTAACTATATGGTTCAAGTAAGACAATATTTTTTGGAGGGTCTGTCATGTATAGGTATGGACACACATCATTATTGGTACCGTGTGTGGGAATATCAATTATGTGCAACTACCCAAGCCCCTTGTATGGAGGGCTATGATGAAATCATTATCTCACGTTCACTAGGAAACGAAGACTTTAGTCACTTATAAGCACAAAAGACACCTCTCTCCCCAAGAGATGCCTTTTAAACTATAATGAGACAAAACCTCTTGGAAAGCCTACCATGCGTGAGTGTGAGAATACATGATAATGTCACTATCTCACATAAATTAGAAGACAAGGGTCCTAGTCACTTATAACCACTAAAGGCATATCTCTCCCTAGGAGGTGCATTCTAAAAAGGACAAAACTCACTATGTGGTTCCTTTAGCACCCCCACACTATTTTATGTATTTATACTTAAATTCATTCATCATACATGTAACATCCCACACTTTCATGTGCATTTATGTTTAATCACATTGATTATATATATAAGAAAAAGGAATAAATGTTCTTAATTTAAATACTTATTATAAACTTAAATGAATAAGTTAACAAATCATAAAGTTAAACCCTAGGCTAGATGGAAACCAAATAATCATTAATCATGTTGTGTATGAAATGAACCTTTAAAGTAGAAACTTGTGTTGGTAAATATTAAAGAAAACAAATATAGTCAATTCATTAGCAACTATTAACATCCCATTGATAATAGTTTTTTTTTTAATGAGGAAAGTAACAAACCATTATCTTAGAATTTTACCAAAATATCTCCTTTTTAATTTATCAACATCATAAATTCTTAGCCTATATGTCTCTATTTATCCAACTTTATAAGTTTAATTTCCAGTCACAAGAATTTAAAATCATATAATGATATTTATGTACATTAGTTCCTTTACATAAAACCAACTCAATACATGTAACCTATAATTCTCGTACCTAAGACGTTCAACTTGTATATCCAGTAGATACACCATCAAAAATATCTTCATTGAAATGGAAAGTTATATTTTTATTATTAATAATGGTGCATGTCCCTGTGGTTGATTCCATCAAACTATATTCTTAACATGTCTTCTAATTCATTTCATTTTACTCATATAATTCTTTCATTCACATATACTTAATACCCTTCAAATCAATTATGTACTTTAGCTTATTTAGGTAAATCCTTCATTCTTATCTAACTTGTGCCTACTTGGTTCTTTTTGACTTTGTATGTATGTATCCTTCATTCATAATTACATCATTTGGCTTATTTTTTATACCACCAATTATCTTTTTCTTTTCAAATATTTCCTAATCCAGGTTCATTATTAGGACTAAGAAATCAAATTTCAAATGTACAATTCATTGTTGTATACAATTAATTTTAATCTTCTTCTAAAACTTTACCATATTAATACATTTTCCGGTAATTAATCATGATAATGCTTATAACCCCTTTTCGATTACCTAGTCAAATAATTCATCATAGCCATCAGATATATTGATGCCTTTAGCCCTTTTATTGGTCAGCTAGTTAATTAATTCATCCCGATCATCAAATGTAGTGATGCCTCTAGTGCTTTTACGATAAGCTAGTCAATTAATTTACAGTGGACCTAATCCATAAGACAATTAATCCTACAACAACATTTATAATCATCATTTATATGTCAGACCATGATACTCATGATTCCCTTAACATAGTTTCCATTCACCAGCTAATTTTTCTCACAAGATAATTGTTTATGTGATATGTTTGCTTATTATTCATAATCAATTATTATCGTTGCAATCAATCATGAACAGTTATCAGCTTTTATCACGGTAGTCAATTACACATCATTCATATAATTTTCATCATTGTAATCGAAAGT